ATTAAATTAACCGATTAAATAAAGTGCGACGGCTTGTAGTAATAATTCCGACTTGGGCCGAAATTAAATATTGGGGCCGGAATAAAATACTACGAGGGCTCGATATTTAAATATCACTTGGGCTTGGAAATTAATTCGACTATTCGAATAAAAAATGGCCGACTTAAATTATTGGATTCGCTTAAAATTAATTGGGCTCGAATAATCAAATTATCTGACTTCAGATCGCTTAAATAAAATTCCAACTTTAATAATTAAAGTCGGAAGAATTATTAAGGGCTTAGACTTTAATTCTAATTATTTAATTTAATGCAAATAAATATAAATAATGCATCAAATTTAGAAACTTAATATTTATGAAAATATAGTCGAGCTCCATAAATAGTAAATAAAAATCTGGGCGTTACACATAATGCAACATGATCAGCTTAGTATATGTAAAATGTTCATCTTATTATGTATGTAACGTATTCATCTTATTATAGAACATATTCAATTTATTATGTAACATGTTCATCTTAGTATATGCAACATGTTCATCGTATATGCAACATATTCATCTTATTATATAATATATTCACCTTATTATAGAACATATTTATCTTATTATGTAATGTAACAAGTTCATCTTAATTTTTAACATGTTCAATGAATATATTATGCATCATATTGATCTCCTTATACAACATATTCATCTTATCGTGTAACTTGTTCATCTTAATCTTTAACATGTTCAACGAATTACAAAACATATTCATCTCATAATGCAACATGTTCAACTTAGTTTATGAAAAATGTTCATCTTATTATGTATGTAACATATTCATCTTATTATAGAACATATTCATCTTATTATGTAACATGTTCATCCTAGTATATGCAAAATATTCATCTTATTATATATCATATTCACCTTATTATAGAACATATTCACCTTATTATGTAATGTAACAAGTTCATCTTAATTTTTAACATGTTCAACGAATTACGAAATATATTCATCTCATAATACAACATGTTTAGCTTAGTATATATAAAATGTTCATCTTATTATGTATGTAACGTTTTCATCTTATTATAGAACATATTCATCTTATTATGTAACATGTTCATCTTAGTATATGCAACATGTTCATCGTATATGCAATATATTCATCTTATTATATAACATATTCACCTTATTATAGAACATATTTATCTTATTATGTAATGTAACAAGTTCATCTTAATTTTTAACATGTTCAATGAATATATTATGCATCATATTCATCTCATTATACAACATATTCATCTTATCGCGTAACTTGTTCATCTTAATTTTTAACATGTTCAACGAATTACGGAACATGTTCATCTCATAATGCAACATGTTCAGCTTAGTATATGAAAAATGTTCATCTTATTATGTATGTAACGTATTCATCTTATTATAGAACATATTCATCTTATTATGTAAGATGTTCATCTTAGTATATGAAACACATTCATCTTATTATATAACATATTCACCTTATTATAGAACATATCCATCTTATTATGTAATGTAACAAGTTCATCTTAATTTTTAACATGTTGAATATATTTTGCAACATATTGATCTTATTATATAACAAATTCATCATTATGTAACATGTTCAATGTATTATGCAACATATTTATCACATAATGCAACATGTTCATCTTGGTATATCCAACATGTTCAACTTATTATAGAAAAAAATCATCTTATTATGTGACATGTTAATCTAAAAATTTAACATGTTCAATGGATTATGCAACATAATTCAAAAGTTTCCATGGGATATAATAAACATATCCTTATCCAGAACACACACCAAATTAAATTACAGCATAATTCATTAATTTAGAAAGACAAAATAGAATAGTTTATACCGGTCACAGCAACTACATAATAATCCTAAACACCAGCTGATATCCTCCTAGCAGCACAAATGAAAACGAACAACCTTCCATCAATCCATTACGTTCGTTGAATTGACGAGCATCCTCATGATAGATTAACTTTTTGCGTCTTCATAGTCCCTTCAGACATTTCGTCAAACATCTATTGTGCTTCTTTATGAGAAGCATAATAATAATGAATTATCCATATTAGCAAATGCAAATTCACATTACAACATTATTCATATCTATGTCTTATAACTCACGGATGCACAGCAAAATCATGGATGTGCATTACCGCATGATTGGACAGTAATCGAAATAAAGAAGAAGAAATTGAAAATAAATTTCACATACTGTTGTTCTTCAAATATCGAATTAAAAAATGTAATTATGTACCTTCGTGTTATTCTTCAAATGTCAAATCTTAGAACGTCTTTTTTCCGATCATATATTCGTGAGTGTTTTCTTGTTTGCAGAAGATCGTTCAAAATGAAATATTGGATTAATTGTTTGTTTATTTGAGATATATAATTATGTTTAGGTCATATGATAATATTACAAAAGTTCAACACCTTTTAAGTAAATTTGTTTTTTTTTTAAGTAAGGGCATTTTCGTATTTGCCTTAAGTTTCTTTTCGATTTATTTTTTTATTTATTACAAAAAGGACACATAGCGTTCATTTAAAAGGTACCTGTTGTTAGGTAAGTACAAACCAAAGTACAAGGGTACCTGACTGTAGAAAAGCCCTAGAGAGATTATTTGGGAAGGAGGAATAAGAGTTGGAATGAGATCAAATTTTTCCAAATCGTGGTGATAATAGGCGTGAAAAGAGATGAAAATCTTGCTCTAAAAATAAGATTGTAATCTCTCCCAAACATTCCAAATATACTAAAGAATTATTTGATTCATCAAATAAAAATTAATCCGAAAAATAAATAAATGGGCTGCTTAACATTGATCAATATAGCAGAAAAACAGGCTCATAAGGGCTGGAAAATAATTCTAAGGATTGGTCTCGATCATTTTTAAGAATCGAGAATATCGAGAATAAATAAAATTGACGAACCCAAATCGAATTTAGAGCGGCTTCGACGGCTACTAAAATAAATAAACCGAAAATAACAAAATAGCTAACGAATATTCAATAATTCGAATAATTTAATAGACACTAATGTCTAAATAAATTATTTCACTTAATGGATTGGATAGACACTAACATCTAATTAATACGAAAAGTTTGTCGAGCTTCGAGTAATATGCAACTAACTGCATAAAGAAATAAATAATAAAAAATATCTCTACAATTCGATTGGGGCACACAATCACTCTCTTCACATCTGGCCACCAGGGCTTATGGTAGATTCAGCACCCACTTATGTGCATTAGATCCACACTCCAGTTAGCCCGCTATAGGATTGAACATTTTTCGTGAGTTGAACCGAATCGCTGATTTTCTAGCTTGTATCGGTGCCTCCACTTCCCATAAGCGCATTTTTCATCCGGACGGCATCCCTCTCCGACTCATACAGATGGATCAGCTTGGTTATCCATCTTTCAGATTCGAGTAATCGTTTTGTCTTTACGCTTTAGCCCACTTGTGTTATACTCTTTGTCTGAGCACCTGTTAGCTCTGTTTTTAGATTTTTCACTTTGACCGTGGTTGTTTTTTCTTTTCCTTTCTTTTGATTTTCTCTCTTGCTTCCATCCTTTTTTTTTTTTTTTTGCTTGTTGTATGGCTTTGTAGACTTGTGATTCTCTAGTCCATCTTGGCATGTTCATATATGTTGTGAGTCTAGCTTTAACCCGGGTCCAGCCTTAACCCCTATCCTACTGGGTGTTTTTTTTTTCCACTCAAAAACCAGAAACGTGGACCGAAACTAACAAGAAGATTGGCGGCATTTGGATGTATTGAACTCGTATTATTTTTTTCTTTAGTGCCCAAAAAAAAAAAAAAAAAAAAAGAAAAAGAAAAAATCGTAGAACAACATAAAGCATCTTTCCCAACCAATCTACAACATTATAGATCATTACAAGTTCAGGGGTGATACTTTGTGGAATCTCAAACGCATGATTGCACCTGAGCGGCAAATAATTATCATGCAAATTCACAAAGGCAAAACAAGCAGAAATACACGTCAAGAATATAAATTACCAGAAAGATAACACACAGAGTACCAATAAAGCCCTAATAAACGTCTACATCAATCTTACATTCCAGGGTTTTCACAAAGGTTAAAAAAAAAATAAAAAAAAAAGAAACATTATGAGTAACTAACATAGCTAACAAGAAGCACACAAAGATGAGCTAAGGGCTCCATTCAAGCTTGCATTTCCAAAGCATGGTTTGGGCTCAATTCACGACCATGCACTCTCAGTCGGTAAATGCATGTATGAGAAGCACTCCCGTGATTAGATATAACATCAAGCCTGATAGTGTCGACAAGATTGGAGTCTGCTATCTTCACATTAAAAGTCTGGACGTTGCTCTTCTCGAGATCATAGGTGAATTCGGCCAAAGGAAACATCTTTGCACTTTGGACTTCCAAATCAGACAAGTCTTGCCCTTGCATCCATCCAGATACTCTGCAGTGCTTGGGAGCACTGGACCTATCATAGGCCACACTCTGTTCATAGTACAACAGAAAGTGATCAGTGGTGGATTAGCTTTTGCAGTACCTAAAAAACAAAAAAGAATTCTTCATAATGATAGAGCAGAAAGGAGAAGACAGCATTTGGGTGGGGTATTCTGGAAAAATAATTCTTCAAAGATTGAACGCAGCCAACTTAGCAACCGAAGCAACAACTGTGCATCTATTCTATAACCTTTCTCAAAGAACTACTAAATGCTTCAGACTATCTCCAAACAGATCGAAAATCGTTGCTGCTATAATTGAAATTATCCAAAATTCGATGAGAAATCTGCAAGGAAAATCCAAAAATTGCTAGAAATACTGTAAGTCTGTAGCGTAAAGACAATATGTCTCACTCTGATCAGGAACAGGTCAAATTATGTGTGACATGCCAAAAATCCAAGGAAAATTATGAGCTTGGTTCTGCATTGGGCCATCAATAAATTTTTGCTAAAGGCTTGATCTAATGAGTTGAACAATGGCAAACTATAAAATATAAAATGAAAAGTAATTTCCTGACATCAAATCAAAGCATCCCAATATTAGTAACACATTACTCTGCAATTGGATATCAACTACATACATTTTCATCTACCATAAATTTTTTAAAAAGAGCATATTGTTCACCGCTATAATTTTTTTCCTCAATTTTAAGTTATAATATTTTAAATAACAATCGACAATCAGTGCTACACAATTCACTACAAAATTTAATATTCATCCACTGATATTGCTAACTATTATTTATTATTCTTTTACTTTTACATCACATCAAATCCGATCCGTCGTATATCCAATTACCCTTAAAAATACTCTTTTTCTCCCTAATTTAAATTTTCCACAAGCTTATTCTCTAGTGAAAAAACTTTCAAATGAAAGCATATCCAGACGCACCTAATGCTTTTTTTCTAATCCTATCTGTATACAGCAAACAGGATTTTAGGTAATCCAATTAATTATAACTATAACTGTAAATATCACAAGACTATGCAAGCATTATAGTGCACGCCTTTTGTATTTCGCCGTTCAAATTCCTATAGTAGGCATGCACATACTTTTCACAATATTTCTACTGCAGTGTGCAATAGTTTTAATTGGCAAGGCAAGACGATTCGCAAAGAACCTCAAATATTATAGAAAATACAACAATACACCATTATAAATAGAAATACTGAATAAAATTAGAACAAAATGCATAAGGTTAGGAAATATAAGATAAAATAAGCGAAAATTAAAGTCAAAAGATAGAAGATCCACATACAAAACTAAAATTAAAATAAAAGAATAATAAAACCAGATGGAAAAAAAAAAAGAAATTAAAAATGAAAAAGAGAAACAGAAAAACAAATAAAACTGAAACTATGATTGAAAAAGAAAATGAGAAGAAAAGATGAAAAACTGCCTAGCCAAACAAACAACAAAGAGAAAAAGGCAGATAAATGGGAAGAAGAAAAGGAAAAAGAAATAGTACAACACAGCAATCAAAGAAACGACGGAGAAAAAAAAAAGAAAAGGCCAAATAAATGAAACAGGAAAAAAAGCCTTAAAATAAAGGAAAGAAACAGACAAGGAAAACAAAAAAACCCTACTAAGTGCGGGCTCTCAAAAAACACAACAGGCATCCGGAATATCTCAAAGAAAAAACTCAATAAAAAAAATAAGAAAAAAGAAAAAAAATCTCAAACTCCAAGTCGCCTTTGGAGAGAAGAAAGGCGGTGCAACTTTACACCCGCCTTGGCGAGAGTGACGCCTCAGGCAGCAGCGAGTCAACTTTACACCCGCCATGGCGTTGCTATTTAAAACTACGCAGGGTTCCAAATCCACAAGTCTGCTTGTAGTTTAGCATTGATATGGTTTGTATAAAACATTGGCTGGTTAAAGTTTTGTTGCATGCCATAAGTATGTAAAAATATAAAAGAAAATCATGCATATTTGCACAAGAGTGCATGTTATTCTGCTTGACAAACACAAGTATCCAAATAGAAGCACCGTCATATTCATGCCGAACCAGGGACATTTTGCTAAAACTGATTTAACCACCGCATAAACTCATAACTTATGCAGAAGGTTATGTTGGTCGGTTCCTTCATTTTCAATAAATCTATTCTTCAACTTCAGATCGTATATATTCACCTTTCCACTTTGATAGGTTCTTGACAAATTTAACACTTAACTTCTCAATAATAGTAAACTTTTCATATCGTGATGGTGAATATCTGCTGACATTGTCCAGAAAAAGGTTGCAGACATTAGAGATGCAACAACCATACTCATTCCAATAAAAATCATTATCAATCTTCTTCCCAAATCTACACACATTTATTGTCAGTCTCAAAGTAAACGGCACAAGTGTAGAAAGAATGTACATAACAAGACCAAAAAAAAAAAAAAAAAAAATCATCACCTAAAGGAGAAGGTGATGCACATAAGCATTAAACGGTTCATGCACCAATCAAGTAACCACAACTAGCTGACCATAACCAAAAGTATGAATGTCCAGAGAACAAATAAGACAATAACCGGAGGCAAAATGATTACCATTGCCACACTATTCCTCACAGAATCAAGCAGGATAACTGATAGAACATATAAAATGAAAAAGAAATCCAATGGTTACCTTAGCAACATGTTCAAGTGTCACTGCTTCAGGTACAATGGCAGTCCTGAGTTTTATATTGACAAATCCATTCTGCCCTTTAAGAGGAAAACACTGCCCAGGCTCTCCAAAGCTTGGCCGAATCAACTTCTCAGCTTCTGCACTCACCCTATTACGATTCATTAACCAACTCGTACTTGCACTTAGTCTCACAACACCATATGGCTCAGAGTGCCTTACCACCCTTCCTCCTCCAGATGCCAGCGCATAATCCACCATTCCCAACCCATCAGCTGCATGCCTTCCAATTTCCTTTGCCACAATCTCCTGTGCATAATTCTTTAGCTCATCCAAACTAACCTTACCAAGACCACCAGCGTCGCCAAAATTTCGGGCCTTTAGGAATTCCTCATAAAATTCACCAAATTCTTCCTTCAATAGAAAATTTTTGTTTCGAAAACCATCCATAAACTTCTCAAAAACATCATTCCGTGCACCAAGAGCCTTTAATTTTATGTCAAGTTCATTCCCCTTCTTCTCAATTTTCTCATCAAACTCCTTCCTAACCGATCCAAGCCCATCCTCAAACTTCTGATCATACACGTTCAACTGAACCTGCATCTCCTTCACTGTCGTCCGAACAAACTTCTCCATCTCCGAGTACTTCCCTTCGAAATACCCAGAAATTGCCAATATATCCTCAGCATCAGGACCAGAATTCAAGACCACCCACCTAGTCATCTGAACAAAACCCAGTATAACTACCAGCAAAGCCAGATTCTTTGTGAGAATGCTGATCACAGTGAGCCATCGCGGCTTTGCAGGCTTTCTGGATGGTGCGGACTTCCTCGTCGGGATATGGGTGTGGACTTTCCTTGCATCCCTCGCGACAGCAGTGTCACCAGGACTGGGTCGATCGTCTCTATTCTCAGACTCAGTGACGATGGTGGCCGCCGCGAAACCTGAATCGGCGGCCGAAATATTCTTCTCGGCTGCTCGGCGGCGAGTTGTGGGCCCTTGATTCGCGGTGATGGAAACTGTAGATGCGGACATTTGAAGGGTTTTAAACGGTTAGAGACCGAACCTGACTTCTGGAGTGGATCTCCTTGATTAGATTGAGAATTAGAACGATCGAAACGAACCCTAGACGAGGAGGGAAACGAAATTGGATTGAAAATTTATCAGAGATGAGATAAAAAGGGAGAAGGTGTCCAGTATCTGGTTGTAACGCCGTTTCAGATTATTTCAGTATTATTATTATTTTTATTTTTATTTTTTATTTATTTTTATTCGTGCTGGATTATTAATTCCTAGTGACCATATGCTCGTAATTGTATTAATCGTAAAATCAAGTCGAATTGTATTATTAAGTCAATTATCGTTTGAACCAAATTATAGTTGCTAGTCGGGATTTTTAAATTATTCGCATGCCAATCGAATCAGGTCGTTTCTTTAAACCCGCGCCTTCTATCGCCCAACGATCCGCGTGTTTCGCAGCCTGCACACCCACCCGCTCGAGCCCCTCATGCATGCAAAGGTTTGTATCTTTTTAAATTTTGAATTCAAATGTTATTATCTTATCCATTAATACAGCCCTCAATCCCTTAATTGGTACCCCATGAGCAAGTCTTATGGGAGTTACATTTTAATTTGCTATTAAAAAGGCAAAACCCCCCTCTTTCTCTCCCTCACTCTCACACTCTACCATGTCTCTCTCCCCTCTCCCTTTCCCTCTCATCCAAAAATTTCAGAAGCTATATCCTCTCCCCTCTCTCTTGATTCTCGCCGAACTTTTCCCCAAATTCACCGGAGAACTCGTCGCATTCGCTGCCGTGCGCTTGTGCCATCGCTGCCTACCGCGCACGCCACCAGCACACGCATCACGCCCAGCAACGTCGACGATCCACGATCTCAACTCGGCCACCTTTGCACGCACGACGCACGACGCTCGTTCCACGATCAACGAGCTACAAAGGACACCATATTCGACGTGCGAACCGCCGTTATACGTCGAGCGAGCCAAGCAGACGATTCCCCGCCCGTAGGACCAACCGTGCCTCGTTCGTCATTCTCCCCTGGTGTTTGGTCTATATTTCTAAACGCCAATTATATTATTTGATTATATGTATATTTGTTGATTCTATAATATTACATAATTTAATTGAATTAAATTGTATAGATATTGTATTTTATGTATTTTCTGGAATTAGATCTATAGGGTTTAAAGTAAAAACCTTATGATTTGGTTTAATCTCGTGTATACCTCTTAGATTATGGAACATATTTGTGTCCTGGTCACAATGTTTTTGACCTTGTGTCATTTGGATCTATATATTGTGAGTTATGAATTTCTGAACATTTTGATGCTTCTGCGATTTGTAAAATACGTGATAAATTTTAGTGTTATCCAAAAATTCTAGAATTTGGATATGTCGCTCCCCGGATGTTTATATATCTTGTATAAAATTTTGATGATTTTTGGAATTATTTTGTTTGGGTAAATAATTAATTGACCGTTTCTGCTGAAACTTATTAAATTTATGAAAAATTGAATCCTTCATGAAAATGCATGAAACTCGGTTTATAGGCTTGTCTGATATTTTATTTGATGTTGTAAAAATTCCTGGATTTGTTGAATTCATTAGGTTAGGTTTTTATTTAAATCTTGGATTCTGCTGAAACTTGCAATAATTTTTATAATTCATGTGTTCAGTGTTTATACCTAGAATTTTTGTATGTTACTCCCAGCATTTTGAAGTTATTTTCATAAACATATTAGGTCTTCAATCATTCATTAGTTTAGTCATTAAATTAGTACTTGTTTTTGCTGAAATCTTGTGTTAATTTTATGAAATCACATGCTTAAGTGATAGCGCTAAAACTTGGTGGTTTTGCTATGCTCAGTATGTTCTATTTTGTGTACAAATTTTAGATTAAAACTCGTTTGTTAGTCAGGTCATCTCGAATATGTGATTTACTTGTGTTATTTTGCAAAAACTAACTTATTATGTTTGAGCTACAAACTGTAGAGCATGTATTCTTTTACTGTCCAAAAGCTAAGAAGTTGTGGGACACGGCTACAATCCAGTGGGACAACTTGCAAAATACTGGCCTCAATTTCTTTTCTTGGTGGAGACACATTTGCTCAAGCAGGAAATGTGAAGTGGCCGAAGACAGAATTCAGCTGACGACCTATATGCTTTGGTGGCTATGGCGTTCTAGGAACTTATGGCTCTCTGAAGGAACTCATATCCCCACTAGTCAGATTCCGAGTTGTGCTATGAAAGAATGGATTGAGTTTCCTCTTTGTGTTAGTCTTTTCTTTGCTTTTTTTTTTTTTTTTTTTTTTTTTTTTTTTTTTTTTTTTTTTTGTGTGTGTTTAGTTCATCTGATTTGAGCATTCTCTCTAATTTAGGCATGTTGCAGTGGCTTAGTGATTATGCTTGTTTTTTCTTCTCTCTCCTAGTTGTTGTTAGTCAAGTTTGGGCGTCTAGGCCGCTTGTACGCGAGTCCTCCCATTTTTCAGTTTTTGTAGTCGAACAGTGTTCCCGATTTTATTGTGATATATATCTCTTCTTCGTTCCAAAAAATAAATAAAAAATAAAAAATTGTGTGATCTTTCATAAATGTTGTTCCATGTTGATGTTGGATATGAACTTGTTATTTGGAGTCGAACCCTCGGGTGGATTTTGAAGTAGCCTGATTATTACTCAGTTCTCGGACGTTTTCCCGAACCGTTTACCCCCTTTGTCTTTTGGTTGACTTGGCCAACCCCTATTTGAATTTTATGTGACTTTTCCATACTTGGTTCTGATTCGAGTCAAATGTTCCATAACTCAACGAGAATTTCCCACGAGCCACTTAGTCGACGAGTTTCGACTAAGTTTGTGTAATAGTTAGGTTAGTACTAATCGAGAGGCTATCTTGATTTCAGGTAGGTGTTTTAAGGTGTGACCTCATGTCATACCCCGCATATCAGAGTAAATTTTTTGCAACTTATTTCAAAAATACTTATAATCTTTTTTTTTTTTTTTCAAAACCTTCTTAACTCGGGATGCTACCAAACTTATCTACTTTAAAAATCTGTTCCCTTTTAGTTTGATCTTACAACTAAGTTAGATATAAATAAAACAAATTTAAATATTGAACAATTATAAAAACTATTAATTAGTTCATACAGACAATCCGGTAAATCACCTTCAAAATCACACTTAAAATCACACCTGTTCAAATCTTAAAAGAAACGTAGCGGAAATCTTACAAGCATGGTTTACAAACCGAAACCTTATTGAAAATTCTCAATAGAAACTTATTCACATCCACGACCACAACAGCTCCTCACACCTGCGCACCGTCTTTATTTCCTGAAAAATGATAATAGTGGGGCGTGAGTACTAATCAACTGTACTCCGTAAAAACCCATACTAAAGTAAACACCTCCCACCTCCGAATTGGAGCATCTGTCTCTGAGGCCGCTACACTGTGTTACCAAGTGGATAAGAGTCAGTTTGACTTTCTCCACATATGAGCTTATAGTTCTGGAGGTTGACGACAGCGCTTGAGTAGGAAAAGCTTTGCGATTAGAGTTGGGGATTTCTCAGGCCCGAACCCATTCCACAGAACATAGCTACCCAGATCCACCATGCCCGCCTTCTTGCCACACTACCCAAGCTACCTCTTCTTTAAAATACGAAGGCGTGGCATGATCGCCATTTCTTTCTAGATCCCGGCTGAGTTCTCCACATGTTTCGTCAAGCTAATGACGTTAAACAAGCGCTTCTTGGGAGGCAACCTAAGCATTTTATTGCTTTCCTAGATATTTTCTTTTATGCTTTTTAGTTTTATTCTTTGACGAATGGGAGTTTAGGAATTCTGTGTTTTCCTTAGCAGGTAGGATTGCGAGCTCGAGCAGGACGATTACGTTGAATGAGGAGTATCGAGGTTCTGGGCTAAGCATAGGCGAGCGTCTTGCAAGTGTGGTTATCTTCCTCGAGGCATCTTCGGTTTGCACACCTTTTCTCTTTTTATCTTTTTGAGTTGCTTCTTTTTCGTGTCTTCTCTTTTGATTTTGTGGTCTTGTGTTAGCTGCTAGTTTTGATTCATGATATAAAATTGCATGGTCCTTTTATTTAACTTCCTGGTTTGTGTTGAAGCAATGAGGACATTGCTTCATTTTAAGTGTGGGGGGAGTTTACTTGGATTTTGCATGCTTATGTGGTGGACCGGTCTAGTGTCGGTTTTGTGTTTTATGAGTATGGGCTTTGGAGTTTCAAGATTAGTTAAGACTTGTTTGATGAATTCGATGAGTTGTGATGTTGGTCATATGCGGCATAGCGTGATGAAATGCTTGGTCGATTATTTTGATTGGTATTCATATATCTACCTAGTGAGGTTTAAGCCTTATTTGTTTCTTGAGATACAGTGGTCGTGCTCTTGTTTGATTAGAACTTGCCATGACTCTGCATTGAAATAAATTGATTAGAATTGTGAACTGTATATATGATTACTGCGTTTATTGTATTCTATCATTTTTTTTCTCTATAAATTATTCCCTAGTCTCCCCTTTTGAGCCTTATTTGATTTTTGTTGATAACCTCGTGATAATAATGTTTTTGGAGTTGCGGGTTAAGAATTAGAGGAGATGATTGTTGGAGTTGTGTTTATTTTCTTTATTAAAGAAAAGAAAAAAAAAACGAAAGAACAAAAAAAGAGAGAGCGAAAAAATGTAGCTGAATGGATTGTAAAATATCCAATAAGGTTTACGCAAAAAAAAAAAAAAAGAAAAAAAAAATGAAATAAGATGGGTAAAACATATGTTTTTAGGAGAAGTGTGGGGGATCCAGTATGTTTGAACAACCGACTGCGTGTATGATTTTGGGGTAAGGTGTTTGAGTTATGAATTCGAGTCACTTAGCCTATATTTATCCTACCGTCCAAAGAGCCTATGCTACAACCTTGAAAGACTTTTTGATGAACTAATTTTGATTTTGATTGGTTTAAAGTAGAAGTTAGACAATGGGCAAGTATATGATTGAACTTGTTATCGACCAATT